AAACAGCTAATTGGGGTTTCAATCAACGTTTTTTCTATTTTTATGTCATTTGCAAACTAAATATATTGTACATATTAAAAGTTAAACAATGGTTGCTTGTGTTCAACGTATTTTTAGCAACCTAATCCTAATAGATATTTTATACATACTGGCTAACCGACCGCTGGCGGTGCTTGCATTTGTTGAAAAGAAAATCGTCTTCCGGCGGTATTATCTTCTTCATACAGGAAAGCCGCCGCAAATCTAAACTGATTTGTTGATCAGGGCGGCATGCTATCAGTGAATTGAAAAATGCCGCCGGACGACGGTCTACTGTATTTAAAACATTGAATGCCGGTGGTAAGAAAAAATACTTGTAAAATCGTTTACCTTTTTGTGGAAAATATCGGTCTCCATTTGACAGAGTAGATGAGCTGTGTCCAGGCCGTTGGTGTTTATGCCGGTCGGCGTAGCCAGGCATGGATTTAAATTTTATGGTGGCGACGAAGCCGCCACCCTACGAGAAGTCGTTGCTTCGTCTTCTTGTTGTCACTACATTATTATTATTTGTTCATGCATGTGAAATTTACTTCTAAGGTTTATAAAATACTACTGCTCAGGGGGGATATCGCGCATGGTGTCATGGCGGCGCTGACGTCATGCGTAGAGTAAGTAGAGTTGGCGCGAAATAAATATCATATGACAGACGCATATTGCAGTAGTTTGTGAGTCGTTTATAGTAATTTATAAGATATTAAGCAGATATTTGTATTATGTTATGTTGTAAATTTTGTTCTTTATGAGTGGTTTTAGTGAAAAACATTGGAAAATGCGGTAAGGATGTAACAGTAACAATTTAAGTAATATTATGGTTTTTCACTATCCTCGGCAGTTAGAGTTTAGTCAGAAGTGAGGAGTGGCCCAAGGGTGGCTCCAGTAGGGGCTCAGGGGAGCATGTTGTTCCCTAGATTAAAATTAGTTCATGATCAGAAATATATTTGTTATCACATAAATTACGTCAAATACGTTTTTTAAATTGAAATAAAATTTGTGTGACTTGTGCAGTAAATATACCTAAAACAACCCATTTATCTCCTTGTACATTTCACATTATTATAAATAAGGTGTACCTTCTGGTCGAATTTTGTCAAGTGATTGGCGAGGACATCAAGAAGTGTCATCTGCAAGGATTTAGTTTTAAATTCCTGCAAATGAGATGTCAAACAACTCAAAGTTGCAAATTATATCAGCTAAAAACCGATAGTACCTCTTTGAAGGTGACAGATGAGGTATTTAAATCGTCTGATGGCTAGGCCACTACTGAGGGGCTATCAGAGGCATTCATGAGCCTTTTATTAAAAAAAAAATATGCTAAATAGGCAATTCTACCCTTTTTCCCAAGAAAATTCGACATGGAGTAGCCCTTCCAGTGGCTTGTGACCCTGCAGATAAATTTTCATATGTATTTTTAGCAGTTTTAACTTTTCAATTACAAGAGGGACCTCAAATCAGAACTTCACACTAGTTCATTTGCAACTTGGGACTTCTAAACTGAAGACTCTACCCTTTGAGGGCTAAAAATTTCGCAATATAAGCAAAAGTAAAATTGTAAATGTCGCAAAAAACCATTTCAACTTGTACTTGATGAATGAATTAAAAGACTGTCAGCGACTATGTCCAGGAAAAATGCAGTGACATTTTATTTTAATTTTGTATGTGCACCCACTATATGTTACGTAGCAGTTATTTGTATTTGGCATATTTTTTTATGCTTTGCATTATATTATATGAATGTCTGCATTATATATTTTTTAAAACTTATTTTTAATCAATTGGGTAATATAATGCAGGTAAATGAGTAACCAGTTGCAAATTCTAATAAGGTAAAAATTTCCGGCATACTCAGATGCGAAATTGTTACCGGGATCCCCAGTTTCCATTTGCGAAGATACCCTTTTCATTATCCTGGTTATAAAAACTATTCTTTAGCAGTCGAAAATAAATCATTAAAAAAGAAAAAGAAAAAAACTAATCAAATAAATATTTCTTTTATGTATGTATTTGCATTTATGTTCCTTTATAGTTCTTTCCGTAACTATCCCACAATAATATCCATAGATATTTCATGTAATTTCTAAAATATTATCCTTAATATTCATGAAATTTCTGTAAGTAGCATATATTTTCCTCACACTTCGCCAGTATTTTTAAAATTGCGCTTATACAAACTCTACGCGTGACGTCATGCGCGTGGCCGTCCTATTTTTGACACTGTTGATATCCTACCTTCTATTTTTTATACCATGACTACTGCTAGTCACGGCGTAAATGAAAACAAACAAGACGCATTCACACAAACACCTCCCACCACAGCAATTACAAATGATTAGTGTTGTCCCCGATACGTGAGTTTTTCCAGCGGCATTTAATGTTTCAAATACCGTCGTCCGGCGGCCTTATCAATACTGTGATAGCCTGCCACCCTCATCAACAAATCTGTTTAGATTTTCGGCGCTTTATATTATTATGTGAGAAGACCATGCTGCCGGAAGACGGTTTTCGTTTTATTAAATTCAACTACCGCCGGCGGTCGGCTAGCCAGTACAATATTTATGTGAAGAAATGTTCTGAAATAACATTCCACAACAAAGCCGTATTTGAGATATTAATTGTGCTTTAAATGACATTATTGTAACCATTTTAGGGTTTTGTAAAGATGAATTAAAAATGAGAGAATTTGCTATGCAGTTGGTGCAAAAATTAGATTTAAAATAATCATAAATATTATTTTTGTTATCTTAAATTCTAGAAATTTACTTCAGTTTCATTATAAAAAGCATTTGTCTTAAACACGTAATTTACAACACCGACTCACATTTACAGTTTTTACCAATATGCCAAATATCTCAAGACCATTGTATTCGCTTACATGGAGGCCACAACAATACCTCCACCGGCCAGCACTTTCTGGGGGGCTATTGTCAAACTCGAGAGAAAGTGATTTCTCTCAAGATTTTCGTCATTTACGTCATCGTAAAAACAGTATTTTGAAAGCCAGTAAAAACTCGCAGACTGTTTCTTTTGGTTTATTTCGAGAGGATTAAAATTCTCCCAAGAATTTGAATTCTCATTGGCTTTAAAAATACTGTTTTCACGTTGACATATGACATTTCACGTGGAAATCTTGAAAGAAATGAGTTCTTTTAAGTTTGAAAATAAGTCCGTAACTTACAAAAATTATTAGTAGGTACATGTTGAAGTTTTCGTGGAAATTGTATTTCTCTAGAAAAGCTTCGAATTTTAAAATGTCCTCTTCGTCAAATCAACGAATCGTTAAGAGACTATAGAGATCTTGGCTTATCAGAGAGTTATGATAGTGTGTTAGACGTTACTGAGCATGATCAAATTATTTACTAAATCCCATGCGCCATCGGCATTTACAAAATATATTGTTATACATATATTTAAAGTGACCATATTTTGAAAAGTAGAAAGCGGCACAAATAGAAAACAAGGATTAATTTCTACGAATTATCTTTGCAGTAGTGACGGTTTGGTTCATTTAAGAGCAAAAAAATATATATAAAAGAGTGGGGTGTCACGTCACCATAAAAATTTAAATATTTATATTTTTTTCGTTAGACAAAAGCGGGACACATGTTAAATCGGGACTATCCCGCCTAATTTGTGACAAATATGTTCGTTTATTGACAAAAAAAAAAATAAAAAAGCCTATAGTATATCTCTCTATGCTACATGGATGTTAGACGTATGTCTTTAATGTGAACAAATAATAAAAAGGAGCTATTTAAATTATCCACCTTATTTTAGTAAAATGTGTAGTGTGTTCAGTGCTACAAGTCATTTGTAAATAAAAATATATTTGCAAATTGTACAGTTTTGATCAGCATCCCTTCTATAACCTAACAAATATACAAATATTAGGATGTTTTACCTCATTAAAAATAAAATAAACAACAAAATTGTATTTTTTAATGGCCAATATAAACATAATTTTATATTATTTGTTATTTGGCCATAATATATTTTCAATTAATACCTACCAACTGTTTGATTGTTCTATGTTATATCAATTTCGGTCTAAAATAACAGTTATGTATTAAATGAAATTTCTAGATTTTATTATTCTATAAAATACTATCTTCCACTTGCACATTTTTTATTCCTTGAAACTTATTTTATCAATAAGTGGAATTACTAAAAATTAGTCATTATGACCTTAATCGTCCATTTTATAACAATTAATAAATATTTCTTACATTTTCTAAAAAAAAAAAAAAAAAAAAAAAATAAAAAAAAAAAAAAATTGCGTTTCATTCAGTAAAGTCCGTATTGAAAAAGACACTTATAACGTCTCTCTACCTTATAACTCCATGCTCCATACATATGGGTGAACAATATACAGGGTGGCAATCGAAAACGTACCGCAAGGCATTACAGGGTGGAAAAGAACTTTTCAGCGAACTGCAACAACACGTCAAGTTTGTTTGTCAACGGGACACCTTTTGACGCTTCCTCCAAATTTTTTTAAAGGCGAAGGGGGCTCAAGTGAAACCTTATTTAAAGGGTCTTGTCATTTCCTATACGACGCGGGTGAGTTTTTGAAATCGAGCCTCTCGTTTAGAAAATTATGGAGCCTTGAAAGATACACAGTAATGTGTGACGGAAAATGCAAAAATAGATTTAACTTAATTTCATTAATAATTCCCAGTGTTTTGAGTTAATGTGTTAAAGTGTTTTATTTTAAATGTTCGTTACATTTAGTACATCACGCGTGTGAACGCGATTTTTCACACTCATGCGATTGTCGAACTCGACTTAGTACTCGTGTTAAAAGTGTCACATTTCGCATTCGTAGTTTAAATTATTATTTCAGTGGGAGAACACGACTTTGGTTTTTTATTATTCGTATTAGAATTATAGTTTTAGAACTTCAGTTGCTTCTTCATCTGTAAAATAAATCGCATTGTTTTAAATAGAAAAAATAATAATAATAAAACTATTGTTTATTTTTGATGCTATTATTTCAAACCTTCTTATGACAAATTTTTCACTGAAGCTATAATTTCGTTATTACATTTTTCACCTACTTTTTCAAATTTTCTGCCATGCTACACAAAAATATCTCACTATACCTCTATCACAGTGTTTATTGAGAATAGAAGCTGAATATTTTAGAAAAGTCTTTTGGACATCTTTTAAAAATCCACATGCACATTAAATTGCATATATTTTGGATTAATTTTGTATTTGCAGACTAGTATAACTATGCCTACAAAATTTAGCAAGTTTCTTCAAAATTTCCTAAGCAAATTATACTTATAACACATATGTTTACACTTTTTAATTCTATTATAAAAATACCTAACATCCCTTTTTGTATCTATTTGTTTTTATTATTTAAAAACTTGAATTCTAGCTTCTCTTCTGAATAAACGATTACTAAATTTCAGAATAAATATTCTTTTGACAAATAGTGACAAATTTGTCATATATTTAAAACAGTATCAAAAGTCGTAACCATTTTCAAAAATATAATGAGGACAATTATTAAAAACACAAGCATACACAATTTGAAATAAAAATTCATTATCTTCAAAGTTCATATAAATAATTCTTCTTTACTGCGTGATTCATTAAAAACTGTCTTATCTTATATAGTGTGGTCAATATCGAACAAATGCATTTATTTTAAAGTTTTAATAGAGTAGTTGTAAATAAAAAAGTACGTTAACTTTCCAATAACGACTCTAGGAAAACGGTAGAGGAAAACAATGCTATTGAATAGACAGAAACAGAATAATACATCATCGAATGCGAACTGTAATATCCCCTCCTTGCCATCGAAAGGGCGTAGTTAAACCAAGTTACTCTCTTTACGTCTAAATATAATTAAGCGTCTTATCTTTATTTTGCTTTTCGCATTTGTTAACGTAGGTACTGTATATTATTTTAAGTATAGGTACCTACTTCTTTTACTTTTAGTAAAATTCCCTGTAGAACTAGATTAACAACATTAATCCAAATGACAACAAAGTCAAATATATCTAGGTACTTCGATACCAAATAGCCTAGGGTAAAGAGATTGCAGATAGTCTCTCAAGGAAAGGGGCTTAAATACTCTTTGTGGGACCTGAGCTGAGCTGTTTTGCGGTATCAGCAGTTACACAATATTAGGAGAGGTTCAAAAAGAATTGAACTGTAGAAGAATCGATAATTGGAACAATGTTTTGGTGTTAAGATAGGCTAAGATACTTCTGGGCAAATATACATGTACCGGGCATTGCTGACTCAAAAGACACCTTAGTAAGCTGATAGTTATAGAAGATAGTCAGTGCAGATTCTGCGAGGAGGAGGATGAAACTCATTGCACATTTTGACTAAATGTATAGCAATTCGAAACTCAGAACTATACTTAGGAGCATTCTAAATAAAAGTGGTCCATCTACCTAACTTAAAGCCATCCAAATCCTACACTTCCTTGAGAAGATAGGATTGGAAGGGTCGTTATAGGCATCAAGACTATTTCCTCCATGCATTAGCGACAGAAGGGGACACAGTAGACCTTTTAGGTCGCAGTGCAATAATAGCTTTGGAACGAGCATGAACAGTAGAAAAGGGAACTTGTACAAAACTTTTTATTGCCAATTATTCTAACTTTGAATTTCAGTTATCTCTACTTAATAAAATAATATACAATAAGATATTCTAATTTATAGATAACGGCATCTTAATTAGAGTATGTTTCGGTTTTGAATAGAGAAATGGATTTTATGTAGGGAGAATAAGACATAGTATGGAAAAAACGGCTAGAAAATTATAATAGGTCCTAGAAGGAGGAGAGGACACCCAATAAAATCATAGATATATGGTATTGGATCAGCAACGGTGGCTCTACATTCTCCTGGAATCAACATTTAAATACATATTAGTATATGATCATGATACATATACAGATTTTAATTGTAAAAGTGAACTAGCAGAAAAGGATTAATATGTACAGGCTGCTCATGAAATAGACCAAGATGTTCTATATATATAAGTTGGAGAGGGTGGGTTGTCCCCTTTCCACAGAATTAGGTCTCACTAGGCCCATTGGGAAACATCCTTTAGGCCTCTCTTAGCTCGTAAGCAAACCTACAGATTTAATGTAGTTAGAAACGTCGCAAAGAGGCGGTACTTCTCTTATATTGGCTGGTTTTAGCCAATACTCGCCTAACACAAATCTCCATATTATGGAATTGCTGATGTTGTTTAATTAGTTTCGTCACGATTGATGTTGTTAGCTCAATAAAAGGGATAAGACGAAAAAGTATTTGGTAGGATGCCTTCTTGGCTTGTGAATCGGTCAGACACTAACTCTTTGATGTGGCGTTTCGTGGACCTTTCGTGGTCTGTCCAGGGTAAGCAGTGCTTGTTTGCTATCTGTATAGATAAGTATGTTCCTTCCAGTAATATTGGTTATGTTAAGGTTTAGGTATCTGGAGTATATTTGTCTTGGAATCGTTGATGTAAATATGAATTCTACCTGCCACTTCCTCCTCTTCTATATTCTTGGTTATAACTTTGTAGGACTGATGAAAGACATATCGAGGTGAGATGTCGTCCATGTTTGATGGAAGCAGTGAAGCCTTTTGAGTACCTCCCTTCAAAAGCTACATTTTACTTTACCGGTTCTATTTCAATTATGTTATTTTCATCAAAGCAGAAACAGGGGAATCGTAAAATAGACCTAGATGTTTGCCTGTCTTAATAATTTTTATTGGAAAGAGAAATGGCCAAATAAGAGCTAAATACCTACTTTAATTAGTCAAGACGCCGCTATGAAAATTACTTGTAGTTTTAATAAACTGCATTATCATTAGAATGACCTATTAATGGTTGCTATTGCAGTATAATAATACCTTAAGGCTGTAGTGATGCTTGGATTTCTCGAAATAGTGACAGTTGCAAGTACTGGTAACGACTATATATTTGCTCATAAATAAGAAATTTATCATTATAGTAAAATTCTAAATCCTGAAAGATAGGAATTGGCTAAAAGTCGCAAAAGAAGAACTATTTGCGTCTGTATTTTGTTTGAATGTGCGACAGAAGAATTTTAAATGTAGTAACTTTATAATGTTTGTACTGTTTTGAAACACGCACTACTTCTTAAAATAACTGCATTTTTGAAACATAAATGGTTAAAATTTAAAACTTTCTTTTGAATCGTGAAAATTGTCACGATCTAAAACTATTTATTAAATAGTCACGACTTTTGTATCTTCAAATATTTAAAAATTGACCTAAGAAGTTTATAAAAATGATTCGTAACATTTTCAACATCTGTTTTAAAAGTTTCTTTATATTTCCTTGAGCATTATTCGTCATAAATCACCGTAAATATTAAGTTTTAGGCCGGAACGTTTCCTTTGGTTACTCTTCGTCTGCTGAGTTGCTTCCAGAATCTTCTGTCCAGTTGCTTATCCTAGATAACAAAAGAACATATATAATAATATATAATCAATAAAAATAAAAGATATTACATTGGTCTAACAAAAGTTGCAAAATTAGCACTATTTCTATAAGGTAAATCAAAATTAAATAGAATCTTGTATCTCTGTTAATGAAAATAAGAAAAGTTCCTGTCAATAGGACTCCTCAACTTAGGAGGATGCACAGTAGGCCTAGTGAGGCTTAAGTGCCGTGAAGTAACCCACCTTCCACACGTTACAGATACATAGGGGTCCTCAAATGCTGGGTTAACAATATGTTTGGTGTAGGAAAAATAAACTGACAGTTATAAGATAAAACAAGGCTTAAGGGTGTGAAATATACCTAGACATAAAATGGGATTTGAGTAATAATGCCAGCATAATTCAAACTGAACTAACGGGGATTCTTATAGCAGCAAAATAAATTACCAGAAACAATATCACTGGAAGGAAAATACTGATCTCAGAACAGCACTATTTATCCTGGATACACTACGAATTTCCTTAGGGTACATATTAGAATGTCGAATTTTTCAATATTTTTCCAATCTATTCTTTGAAAAATCTGCGAAATACGAAAATTTTGCAGTTGTATTTAAAATTTCGTTTTCACTAATGTTTAAGGAAAAACCTAAGTAGGAACTAAGCATTATAAAAACCCTGAGGCAAAGAAGTCATATGGTGTTAACGAGAGTTTTAAAGGATTTGATTTTCTGGTGATGTGATAGAAATTTGATAAGGAAAGGATATCAAAATCTAGATACTCTTCGTATAAAATATGGTATTCGCATTTCTTACGAATCCCTTACTCAATTGCATATAAGATTATGAAAGTTGAGCTTGTTTTATTTACTTCACTATTCATTCTTGTTCCAGTTTCTTTCTGAACTCATAATTTCCGACATATGGTTCCGGTCTCATTTGTTTTGTTACTTATTTTATATTTCAGGTATACCTTGGATTTATATTTTTTATAATTAACTCAGGTTACACTCTGGGTTCAATTTAATTGAACAAACTATTGCATTATACACTTTGAATTTAATTTCTCTGTGTATCTTTATTACACGAATTTAGTTCTATTTGTTTTTTTGTTTCTTACTTCAGCGTCGTTTGCTATTATTTGTTATATTACTTCTTCGAAGAATAATTGTCTATATTGCTACCTTAATGATCTGAATTTGCGGACATTCTCTTAGTTTTAATTTTATTTACTTGAATTTTTAGTCGGTTATTGATACCAATTCACATGCATATATTAGGCAGTTTGTTAGCATTGGTGTTAGATTTGTTGTATGTAGATAGGATAATAAGATAATAAATGTAGATACATCAATATCTTCCTCGTTGAATAATTTAGTTTCTTTTATTAAGCCAATATTTTTCAATAAATGTTCGAGTTTTGGTATTATCATGATGTCTGCAAATTGATGCCCTTAATTGCCATGCCTACAGACAACAGCTTAGTGGACCGTCCTGCTAGATGATTTTTCCCATACTTGATATTACTGTATCCTGGTAAGTATCTATTCTTACCATTTAATTTCAAATTACATTGTTTCTTTATAATATCTGTAAATCCTCTTCACTTACATCCAGTAATTGTGATTTGGTTTATCTAGTGTTCTTGATAATATCTCGATGACACACTATATCTTTCTATGTTCTAACCGCTCGCATATAAAAATCTACCTACCTAATATAACTATTTTTATCTTTACTTTAACTTTTCCAATTTCATCAAAAATTTCTTTTCCAAAATGTAGTTGTTTGTTGTCAGAAGTCTGCTATCAACAAAAACGAGAATCCTTCCCATCTTTTTTAGTAAAGAAATGTTTTAGAAGGAATTATATCTCTTTTTCTTATTATGTGTCCATAAAAAAATTTTGTTACTAATTTTATTTATTTATTTATTTTCTTTTTCATGCGCAGCAATACTAAGGAGAGCTCTTATAGTCCCAAATTTAGCAACAGGACTAAAAGTTTGATCGTAGTCTTCACTGCATCGTTGGAAGACACCTTTTATCACCAGTTGGGCTTTGAATTTGCCGATTGAACCAACCGGGTTTTTAATTTTTTAAACCCATTTACATGGTTACAGGTAACATTTTCCGAGAAATAGCTCACCTCTTTGTCCATTGCACATTCCATTTATGCCTATGTTTGCTTTTTATGTCTTTTCGAAAGGTTTGTGGTGATTCTTTGTGTTCTACAAATGTTGTATATGCCTTAATCACAAAATTTAAAAACTTGGTTGGTGGTTCTATCTTCACGCTTCCAATCTATCGTCTTTCAATCAAAGATCTTTCTTCTGAACTTTCTTTGTCTGTATCTTCTTCTTCGTCACTTAATGCACTTAAGTTTCCTTTTTTCTCGAAACAACTGTTTGATTCTTCATTTATTCATCTTCCACAACTCCACTTTGTCCTTCTTCTCGGCTCTTTGAGAACTCATTTCATCCAACTAGAGGTTGTAATTCGAAAATATCTCTAGGTCTTATGAGTTGCTTAGTTTTCTTAGACTACACGCGATCGATACCCATCATCGTTGGCAGTGCAACGCAATATGTCATTTGCAGTTTTCTGGTCCATTTTCTTTCGACCTTGCTTTGATATATATGCGTAGCAGGTACTCTTAAGTCGTACAGATTGGGTTTAAGGTGTTGATATACCTACATTTACTATCTTCTTATTATATTTAGGTATAGTATAGGTAGGGTTACTTTGTTATTTTTGGTTTTGTTCTGTCGTAGTTAAAAGGTTTTTAATATTGATTGAAAAATGTTTCTAAAGTGGGTCATCGAGAAAATCACGATTGCTCAGAATACAGTTCTTTATTAATGACAATATAAGTCAATAAGTAGGTAAATCGGTATTACGAACACGCGCGACTTTGTCAGTCATATCCTTCTTTAGAAATATTTTTTGTGAATCGCTCGTTATTACAAAAGGACACTTAAGTTTCTTTTTCTGCAAAAGTTATTATTTAGTATTTACTAGTAAAACATCAATACTATGGTGGAGTAATACAGAAAAAAGAAGCAGGTTCGAGAGTATGGAAATATTTATAAATAATGACAGAACTTTTTTTTGAAAATCTGTGACCTAAGGGAGTTTAGTGTGAAATTGGATAATCACTCAACAGATTTACCAACGCAATACATATGTTGATTCAAATTTTACCTTGTCTCTTTTAGGCGATAGTTGCTTAGGAGAGCACTTGCTAGGCGATTCTTCTGATTGGGAATCGTCACTGTCGAATACCCTGATGAGGTGTCTTCCCTCCGGATACGTTTCGTAGATTCTTCTTTCTGGCTTTCGCACATTAAAAAACTCAAAACTGGAAAAATATATATTTTCCTCATAATACTGTTTATTATAAGCATTGTATTAATATATCCCACCAAAGTAAGTAGTGATCCCTAAAAAATTTTCTAAAGTAGGCCTTTGAAAAATTCACGTATGATGAAAATACAATTTTTCTTATTTTTAAATGTCAGTTTGGGATTAATTCAGAGGCACGCTTAGTTAGCACAGACATGACTCGTACCTACTTTAGAAACAGTTTTGTGCAAACACATACAATACTAATTACATTATGCCCATCTATGGTTACGCCTATGGTCTACCCACTAACATTGACAAATTTTTTCAGCTATTAGAAAATGTCGAATACCTAAACTAAAAAGTCTTTTTTATGTTACAGATACAACATGGTACGTAAACAATATTAAAGTACATAAAAAAATAATGGCCGTAGTAGTCGACGCCGATAACACCAAATTAAAAAAAAAGCCTTTTGATGTGACCCTATTTCTTACGTCATTTTATTTTGTCAAGTTTGTTGCATTGTCCTTATATATTATGTTATGTTGGGAATGGGGTGTTAATACACTGTGACCTAAAAGATCTATTGTGCCCCCTTCTGTCGCTAATGTACCAAGGAAATGTCTCAATGCCTATAACGACCCTTCCAAATCTATCTTCTCAAGGAAGTGTAGGATTTGGAGTGGCTTCAAGTTAGATAAATCTCCCTCTTCTATTTAATATCCTCCTAGGTATAGTGCTTTTGGACTCTGGAGTGCTACACATTCAATTAGATTGTGAATGGAGGTTTAGTCTTCCTCCTCACAGAATCTACACTCACTATCCTCTACTACTCTCAGTTTAGTAAGGTGTCCTTTTAGTTCAATGCCCGGTAAGTATCCCTGTTACAATACGTAGCCTGTTTTTGCTGAGGCAGATGCAGGCTTCAGATCTTTTCTGGTTATATTCACCCAGAAGTATCTTAGCCTGTCTCAGCCCCAAGAGATTGTTCCAATTATCGGTTATTTTACTGCGCAATTTTTTTTAATCTCTCCTAATATTATGTTAGGTCCTACAAAGGGTGTTTAAGCCCCTTTCCTTGTAAGACTATCTGCAATCTCGTTACCCTGTACCCCGTTATGTCTCGGGACCCAAGTGAGAGTAACTCTATTTTTCTCGCCTAGCTCATTCAATTGTTCTAGGCATCTATAGACCATTTGTGAGCTGATTACGTAAGAGTCCAGCGCTTTGATGGCTGCTTGGCTATCAAACATGATGGTAATCTTTTCTCGATGTTAAATTGGATACACTTCTCGATGGCGTGAATTTCTGCTTGGAAGATGCTTGGGTATTTTCCCAAGCTTTCGGAGTGCTTGGTTCTCGGCCCATACACTTCTATTCCAGTTCCTTCTATGGTTTTGGAACCGTTCGTATACCACTGAATAGCAAGTCTATCGGTTGCAAGCGCGATGGATTCTTGGCTTTATTTTTTCTTGCAGCACAGCTCTGTGGTTTTGAAGTTTTTCACAAAACTGTACTTCTTTTGCATTTCATCCTGGGGCATGTCCCAGGTATCTTTAGTGCTGAAGCAAGTAGACTTTCGTCTGATTACTCCGTTCCTGATAATTCTATATCGTGTCCTTTTTGCCACATTCTCTATCATCAAATGTAGAGGGGTGAGGTTTAAGATCACCTCCATTGCGGTTCTCTATGCACTGGTGATGCAAACACAGGCTAGTCTTTGTACTTTTGAGATATTAGCTCTCGTAGTAGCTAAACTAGTTCTGTTACTCCAGGCTATAGCCCCGTAAGTGATGATTGGTCTCACTATTGCAGTATATATCCATCACAGTATGTTTGGGTTATATCCCCATCGTTTACCCGCAATATTTCTGCATACCATTAGGGCTTTTGTGGCCTTATTTACTACTTCCTTCTCATGTGTGTTCCAGAAAAGTTCGTTGTCCAGGGTTAGTCCTAGATATTTGACTTCATTTTTTCATTCTATATCTATCACGTCTAATTTAACGGTTTTAAGATAAAGTTTTCTTTTTACTAGTGTTGTTTTTGGGTTTATACTAAGTCCCACTTCACGGCACCATATTTTGGTATGTTCTAGTCCTCGTTGGACTATATCACACAGGATATTTCTAAACTTGCCTCTAGCAAATATGACTATGTCGTCGGCATTACCTTGACATGGTATGCCGAGGTCAGTCAATTTGCACAGAAGTTCGTCTACGGTTAGGCTGAACATTAAACCTTACATAGATGTTTTCTATTAACCTTCGACCGGCATAAACACCAACGGCCTGAACACAGCTCACCTACTCTGTTAAAAGGAGACCGATGTACAAATAAAACGCGTACGACATGCGCACTACAAATGATTAGTGTTGTCCCCGATACGCGAGTATGATGTACCGCCTGTCGAGCGAACTCTAGCAAAGGCGAACAAATGTGTTTGGTCTTGAATGTGCTGACGTTCGCGTTCGTTCGCTGTATGAATAAGCGTTACAGATCAGTGATGTCAGCGTTTGTTCTGGACAGTGCCGTGTCTTAATTGTTTATTTTTACTGTTAAAAATCCGTTGTATTTTTAACACCTTATAATAATCCTGAGTGGTCTAAACTAGCAGTAAACTATAAAAAAAAATACATAAATTACTGTGAGCAAGAATTCAGAGTTTTTTTGTTGTATTTAATATATCTTTATACATTTGAGAATTATGATCTTCTTCACTTAATACTTATAATGAGGATCTCAGATTCAACCTAACCTATGACACTAATAGGACTCTTATGATCTCTTACACTAACAAGGCTGGATGATTATGAATATATGGGATGGACCACAAAAAATATTTCTACTGTAGACCTTGTAAAAATTCTTGTTTTTAAGTGACAGTTTGAATTTAATTTAGATCGGAGCATAGTTATCACGGACAAAACTCGTATCCAGGTCTTTGTCGGTCAAGGCCTTACTTTAGAAACATTTTGTGTGGATCACTCTTTACTTTTTGACTTACATTTTGATGCTTTTCGTTTTAGGCACCCTTTCAATATTTACAAACTTGACGACCGGCCGGAAGCGACTGAAGAAAAATACGTTTCGCTCGTCGTTTCCTTCGTTTTCTGCAGCCTCGATAATATGGCGATAGCTTTCCGATCTGTGAATTTTCGTCGTTGGCACTTCCGTCGTCGGAGTCGAACCGGCAGATCGAGGCGTAGTCACCGCCGGATTTTCGAGGTCTTCGACTATTTCTTCGGTTGCGATCGCCGCCGGATGCCGGCGAGTCGTCACGAAAGGGTTTTCCGCAACAGCCGAACATGTGTCAGCAGCATTTCCAGTTTCGTTGCCCTGCCCACAATGGAAGGACAAATTTATTCGACTTTTTTAAGGCGGTTCAGACAAATGACAGCTGTTAAAATTATGATTTTTGTCTACTGTTACGTGATACCACAGATTACATACACCAGATGCGAAAACTGACAAAGAACACAAAAAAAGACAGAGATGAATGACTATACCGATTTAGGGTGAGATTACAGAACGTCTGCAAGTTTGCAGATCTGCAAATATGGCGGACTTACAAATGCAAGTATTCCAAAAAATATATGCAAATTCGCAATATTTATTGTGGATTATTACCCCCAACAACAATAAACCCAAATTTGGAATACGAAAACTTGATACTTGCATGTGTAAGTCAGTCATATTTGCAGATTTTCAAAGTTGCCGCCATATTTGCAGATCTGCAAAGTTGCAGACGTTCTGTAATCTCACCCTTAGAGTTCCTTCGTAGAAACTCGTTTCTACTTCAAAAGATTGGGAATGCAAAAATTGGTTCTTTAACGCGCCTGGGCCGTGGCTGCGTTGTCCCAACAACAGGCCAAGTCCTCAAATAGGATTAAAGTAGGCTCAGGCGGTAGATCCACAACACCGTACAAATCTGACGAACCTGGGCATGACCCGGGCCCGACGCGTTGTATTTATAAGAGAACCTTTAGGTTTACAGTATGACAAATGAGTAATGAGGTATTTCTTACGTTACTTACTTAAAAAAAACTGAAATAATAAATAAATAATAAGCCATTATATAACTCGTTATATAATTTACCTTTATTAATGATAAACAATACTGTCTTAAATTTTAAGTTGCTTGAAGTTCACTTTGTATTGTATATTTTTACTTTCCTATCTGTATACAGATATAAGGAAAGTATAGGAATCATGATTTTTTTCGACCTCCAGTTTTCGACGGATTTTTACGGTTTGAGGTCTCCTGAATCCGTTTTGACTATTTTCTGTGTGTGTATCTGTATGTGTCTGTATGTGTCTGTATGTGTCTGTGTGTGTCTGTGTGTGTCTGTGTGTGTCTGTGTGTGTGTGTCTGTGTGTGTCTGTGTGTGTCTGTGTGTGTCTCTGTGTGTCTGTGTATGTCTGAGTGTGTCTGTGTGTGTGTGTCTGTGTGTGTCTGTGTGTGTCTGTGTGTGTGTGTGTGTGTGTGTGTGTGTGTGTGTGTGTGTGTGTGTGTGTGTGTGTGTGTGTGTGTGTGTGTGTGTCTGTGTGTGTGTGTCTGTGTGTGTCTGTGTGTGTCGTGTGTGTGTGTGTGTGTGTGTGTCGTGTGTGTGTGTGTGTGTGTGTGTGTGTGTGTGTGTGTGTGTGTGTGTGTGTGTGTGTGTGTGTGTGTGTGTGTGTGTGTGTGTGTGTGTCTTTGTGTGTGTGTGCGCGTATGTATGTGTGTGTGCGTGTGTGTGTGTGTGTGTGCGTGTGTGCGTGTGTGTGTGTATGTGTGTATGTGTGTGTGTGTGTGTGTGTGTGTGTGTGTGTGTGTGTGTGTCTGTCTGTCTGTGTGTGTGTGTCTGTGTGTGTCTGTGTCTGTATCCACCATAACTCATGAACCGATACACAGAAAAACACCAAATTTTAAACTTGAGCTTTATTCCAACGTCCAATGAACTGATTAGATTTTGGGCAGAGTCGGAACATCTGGGGGGTACTTTATGGGTAGTCATTTTTATATTTTATAAAATATATCTGTTATTTACCTTTGGAGAAGAAAATTTTTCAAATAAAAGTTACTTCTAATATCATTTTCTATAATTTTTGTTTTATACAAAATTTTCCTAAAATGGTCCGTATTCGAGAAATTTGACAAAAGGTAAAAAAAATATTTTTTTATAAAAATTGATCAAATAAAAGTTGTTTGTAATATAATTCTCTATAATTTTTAGCCTATGGACCGTATTCGAGATATTTGAGAAACTGTGTAATTTCAAAAACGGGTAAAGAAAAACATTAAATTTAAAATTTCGGCCTGACGTGAAATGATTAGATTTTGGACAAAGTCGGAACATCTGGGGGGGTACTTTATGGGGGGCCGTTTTTATATTTTATGGAATATATCTGTTATTAATGTTTGGAGAAGAAAATTGTTTAAATACAAGTTACTTCTAATATTATTATCTATAATTTTGGTTTTATGTCAAAATTTCCTGAAATGGTCCGTATTCGAGAAATTTGACAAAATGTGCAAAGTTCTGATTTTTTATGAAAATTGTTACTAAAAGTTGTTTGCGATATCGATCTCTATAATTTTTGTTTATACATGATTTTTCTAAAATGGACCGTAATGAAAAAATTGTAGGAAAAGTGCTAAATTTAAACTTTTCAGTATTTTCGTTTTCAATGAATATCTATAGAAAAATGTTTCGAGGTAGATGTATGTGGAAAATATATATATTTAGTTTATCCTCTTAACATTTACAGAGGTGCTGCAATAGGTTGCACAAAATAACCGGAAAAAGCCTATAATAACTAGATAGTCATGTGTTGGACACATTAGATTTTTAATTTTGCTATATAAAAAGTAAAAAAAAATATTTGTTATGTTGTGTTGAGGTTTTAGAAAAAAATAGAAAGCGTCTTATTTTGCGTATTCTCAAGATATTTTAAATACATTATTTTGCATAATAAAGTGGGTCATTTTGTTTTTCAAAAATTGTTTATTTATGGATTATATATTTTACTTTTGTGTAAGTAAAGTAATAATTCTTGACATTATAACTAATACCTTTGAGTTGAACTATGTGTGTGAGGTTCAATTTGTTGACCCTTCACATTAGGTAAGCATATAAAAAACTTTCGTTTCCAATTCCAAATTTTTTAATTGTTACAATAACATTGTTTGTTATACGTTTTCCTACGACCCTATGGGAAACTGACGCATATAATAATGATAATACTCCCTAATTCACCTCCTTACGAGTGAATTTCAACCGTTAAGGCCCTACTGAGCTTGTGTGGGGGGGGGGGGGGGGGGAACGTCTATTATTTTTATTTGCCGTGGTGCTTCGGGGCAACTTAAAGATGATTAATGGTGCCATTTGACTTACAAGTGAGGAAAACCCGAAAAACCTTACCTACTATTTAGTCTCATCAAAACACTTGTGTGTGTTATTTCTATGTTGTAATGTCACCAAAACTAATTTATTTTTAACAATAACTAAAATTATTTAAAAATGACTTTAATTTTATATTTTTATGTTTTTCTGGTTAATACACATATTTAAATAGATCATTAATTTGACATTAAGCCTTTATGGCTCAGATAGTAAGGCGTTCAACTTTGGATTTCGCTACCGGGTTCAATTGCCAATACAATCAATCTACATTATTAAGGAAATATATGAAAATTAAAGAAGCACGTACTATTATTTATTTCAAATACATTTTATTTATTATAATATAACCTATATAATTAGGTAATCCATTAATCTTTGTGCTATTTATTTTGTACTAATTGGTTAAGAAAAAATTATAAGAAAGTAGGTAGATATTACCTTTAATAATAGTAGTTCATTTTATGTGTTGTATTTTAAATATTAAACTAATGAAAAACATTATTAGGTGTATTGTAATATTGTAGCTATTATTTATATTTAGTATCTAATGAAAGTGATATAAAATAGAATCGCAACTTTTTAATTTCGACAAAACACCATCCACAATACATTTTCAAAATTATTCAAAACCAATGAGGCAAATAAAAACACACCTATAGCCAACAACATCTTGATTGAACCTCCATATTCAGATTTACTGGTCTTACTTTTATGTAATGAAATAATGTTGTGGTCGTAGGAAAAATAGTGTGCATCACTTGTGTAAAATTTATTTTCCACACTCTTTATTCGATAATACCTTTCTATAAATAATATAAATCGTTTAAATCCCATTAGCTTTGGTTATTTTTTTTTTTTTTTTGATTCATGACACATTACTATGTTTAAAAATGAACACCAATTCTTCTCCTAATACATTAAACTATTTACTGTTTACACCATACCCATTTACTTCAAAATATTTTGATCTTTTGCCGGGTTTTGCATCTGAGGTAATCTGTGGTGATACGTAACAACCGTCAAATTCACAATGTTGTATCAACTGTCGAATGTTGTGACTGGGCTTTTTATTAGTAATTCCATTTCTAGAATAAAATGTTTTCAAAAAATATTTTTTGAGGTAACTTTTCCAATATTCATTCATGCAGAAATAAATAGAAATCAAATATGCCATGATGCATAAGCTTCTAGAAAGTACGAAGATTTTGATAAAAAAATGCTGTTACAAAATATGTCTTTGATTTTAAATATCGTTAATACCTTAGACTAGGAAATAGAGGGGACGCGTCACCCCGAATTCCAATAAACGACCGTTTGTCACCAAAGTTAAACATAGATATAAAATATATCTTGCTCCAATATAAAAAAAGAAATAACTCAAAGCCAGTGCGACATAAATGTGAGCGACCGTTTTCCTCAGAAAAACAACTACTCCTTTGACTGATACTTCAACAGTCGTTAAATTAAATCCAAAGAAAACGGCAGAGATAGAAAATCATTTTCACTACTATACCTTTAATCTTGTTTACTAAGAAGAACAATATTGGACTGGTTTTGCCCTTATTAGGACTCTTCAGCAAGACAAAGACATATTCTCGATATCAGTCTCTAATAAAATCAGCAAAGGCATTTGATTCACTCACCATTCAAGGCTGTGAGTAAATAAGTAGTGCAAAGTAAAATTGGTAACTCGGTAAGTAAAATAAAAAATTACCAATTTTACTTTGTAACTACTTCGATCTAGTTAGGTGAGTGAATTGAATGCCTTTGCTGATTTTATTAGAGATTGAAGTCGAGAATATTTCTGTCTTGCTGAATAATCCAAGTTTTCAAGACTGAAGTTCTCCTTAGTATACAAAATCAAACGTCGAGTGGTGAAAATTGTTATTTGCTATTTTCCTTTGGATTTAATTTAATGTCTGTTAAGGCAATAGTCAAAGGAGTGGTTGTTTT